AATAGGGCCTGCAGGCCCTCGTTTTCAGTTTTCAGGCTGAAACGACATGGGGCCTGTAAGCCCTTATTTCTAGGCTTTTAGGCTGAGAATGCGGGACGGGCCCTGCAGGCCCGTGTGGCTACGCAGTATGCCACAAAACCCCTCTCTCTCTCTCTCTCTCTCTCTCTCTCTCTCTCTCTCTCTCTCTCTCTCTCTCTGTGTGTGTGTGTGTGTGTGTGTGTGTGTGTGTGTGTGCACGACACATGCCTTGAGCGTGAACATGCACTCCACGGCCTTTGGTGCTTCTCACCACGTACACGAAAGGCAAAAACTATGGGATGTATTTTCCCATGTACAGGGGAAAATACATTCTCATTTTCCACATTTGGTGAGGTGGAGCAAAGACCTACAACTGGCACTCCCGAACCTCCTGGCAGATTGTTATCATTGCAGGACCCTTCTACACTGTTTCAGACTTCCTCAAGAAAGCTTTGAATTCCAAAGAAAAGAACAAAAAAAAAAAAGAAGCTTCGAAATGGTGTCACACGCTGCAGCCCCCTGCCGCACCCTGCCGCATCAGTATCGGAATCAAAACCAAACTCGTGCTAGTGGGACTTGGCCCTCGGTTGTCCAGATGAACCCCTCCGAAGACCCCACCCACCCTTCCTCTCATCTTTTTGCCCTGGTGAGTTCCATTGACTGGAAGATGGTGGAGTTAGCTCCCTCTCCCTCTCCCTTCCCCCACCCCAACCCCCCCAACAAATACATCAGAGTAAATTGCAAAAAAGAAAAAGAAAAAATAAGGCCATCTCTAAGGACTGCCGAAGCTCTCTCTCCCTCTCCCTCCCCCCACAGAGCAAATTGAAAACAGAAAAAGGAAAAGAAGGCCAGCTCTAAGGACTCCGCCGGCAGTCTGAAGACTGGAGAGTACCCGGCCTATTTAGTCTTCCGGACTCTTCTGAATGAATCTGCTCTATAATTTAAGCCATATTCAACCTCAAGGAGGAAAAGGTAACTGGCTGCTAAGGATATGTTCACATTAGAACTCTCTCAAATGAATCTGCTTGTAAATTCGAGCCACATTCAGCCGGGGGCAAAAAAGAAGTCCAAAATGTCAGAATGTGAGTGTGTGCCCTCTAAGGGTCTGTTCTCACCAATACACTACAGCCCAGGTATAGTGCAGTTTTGAGATCCCACTACTTTGCGACGTTGTCGCGGCCGCCAAAATATTTTGCATGCTTTTTTTGTTTGGGTGTGTCATTGCAGCACGTCCGCGAAGGGCGCGAACGTAGTCGCTACAACTTTCGTGTAGACTGTGAGGGCTTCATAGCCTCGAAAAAGACGGAGCATTTTTTTTCCCCATATTTTTCGCTTGTCCATTTGTAGAGGTTGGAATGTCCGACGTCCGTGAAACTGGGGCAACCGGTGCCACAAACCCGTCCGCCTTGAACTGGCGCCCATAAAGAGTCATCGTGGGTCCAGGAAGAACACCAGAGAACTCAGCGCTGTGGGATCCAGTTTCTCCTTTTCACCCCGCCCGGGGGGTCGTCGACATCTTCGCAGTACTTTTTCACCACTACATTGGCAGTGTAGTGGTGGGATCAGACCCTAAGTCAGTCAATTGAACCGTATGCTTTTTTCTCAACAAAAATCATCATTTTTTATTACCAGCCATTCAGAAGGGAGCACTGAAGCCCCATATTCTGCAGAGAACAGCTGTCAGAACACAATTGAGAAAAAAAAAAAAAAAAAACCCAGCTGCCAGGGGGTAGTTATATCGCTGAGAACTCTCAGTGACACTACCTGGAAGTCTCACTACTCCTTCACAATAACAGTCAGCCATTGATTTCTTGAGCAGATTGTCAGAAGGGAAAAAAGAAAGAACAGATTGTCAGATCACCTGGGCAAGGTTCCCCTAGCAAAGAGTAATAGATTTAATGCGGGAATCTGGACGTGTTTGTGGAGGGGTGCAGAGACTTGCTATTGATCTGCTTCTCTGCATCTGTGCATAAAACGCATCCAGATTCAGGCACTTAATAAGGGCATCGCTAGTGGGACCTTACCCCTGCTGACAAAAATGGAAGACAACCTGAATGCTGATGGTAGGTCTCCTTGGAGGATATTTTCTTTCAAAAAAAAAAAAAAACGACAAGCTGAAGGCTAATAGTGGGCCTCTTCCTTGAGTATGTTTTCTTTCACACAATAAATATAAATAAATAAATAATAAATAATAAATAATAAATAATGATGAAGCCTGGTAACCACCATGACATTGATATCTTAGCACCCGACCCGACTCCTTTAAGCATGTTTTCTTTCACACAATAAACAATAAAATTGAATAAATAAATAAATAATGATAAAGCCTACAGTAGTAACCGCCGAGACATTGATGTCTTCGCACCCAACCCGACTTGTCGAATCAATCGCTGTTTTAGGGGGGGTCATATCAGGGCATACGAGCAATCAACCACCCTCCTTCCACGACACCCCTCGTGCGTACCACTGCTTCCCCCCCTTCCCCTCCTCGTCTCCTCCTCACCTAAACGTTAGCAAGGAATCACTTCGGAGAGTCAAATGGTTTCAACTAGTTAAGATGAAACCTGTGAAACTGGCATCCCTCCAATGGCAGGTAGAACATCGCTGCCTACCAACGAATGACTGGCTAATAGACAGGACATCCTTGGAACAGATTGGGTGGGCTCTGCCCTGGTGCAAACTTTGCTCTGATTCCTTCCCATCCAGGAAAAGGCCAGAAACAATAGAACATATCTTCCTGCAATGTCCAGGAGCAATCTTGCTCTGGCGTTGGTGGGACAGGATCTAGGATCAGCTTGAAGTAACGACACCCTGGTCATGGGATTGGAGAGCATTGCTACTAGAAACATGGCCTGTAGATCAGGTGGACAACTTCACCTACAACATCTTTAAATTGGGACGTAGGGCGGTGCTATGGGCGCTCGGGAGACGTCGTTGCACATACGAGATGGAAAGGGTGAGACTGGAAGGCCCCAAATTCAATGAAACCATACAACAACAAATCCAAACAGAGATAGCAACTCACTTGGAAGATGTCAAAGCCCAAATTCGCCACACACATACACAACAGAACACAGACCAAAAAATACAGGACTTCTGCGCAAGATGGCTCGGGGGGAAAAAGGGGGGAAAGATAGGGAGGGTGGAAAGGAATACAGGGAGGAACCAAGAGGAGGAAGGGCTGAGTAAAAACTATCAGTTGTGTTTCCACGAGTGGACCAAGATGGACTCCTCAATTCCAATGAGAACAATGGATGACTTCCCTGACCCCTTTTCCCCCGCGACCAATAGTCTGGTGGATTTGAGATGGTACGGGAA